TATATCGAGCAAATTTTGACGGCTTAAATCACCACCGTTGTTGTTACGGAACAATTTTGTACAACTTTAAATTGGTGCAATCATGCCTCTCTCAATCCTTTCCAGGTGCTTCAGTTCGGAACTCTCATTCAAGGAGCAGTGGTTGGGTAGCACACATCATTCGCCTGCTATTTTGATATCATTCAGACGTAAAAATGAATCTACAAAGTGGGAAGTGAAAACGAACGAAGTCTCGAATCCACGGCAGGACTTCGCAAAGGATTGCCGAGGAGTTGAACTGCAAAGCAAACTCTAATTCGGGCAGCAGTTCTCCGCTGATTGCATTTTTTAGAAGTTGCTCACCTTGCATTCGAGAAGAAAGGCACCACATAATCGATCTCAATCAAATTTGCCCTGAACGTTAGAAATCGGACACAAAGCCTTTTCGTTTTCTAACTGCTTTTTAGTTATGAGTCGTCTTCCTCCAATTTTTTTCATTCGATGTCCCTTCACTTGCTTGGCGGCTGCAAGCCGATTTTTTTCATTCATCTGCAAACCCTCACTCGTTTTTCTTATCTACTTTCCCTTCGACAAATTACGTTTCGAGCGAATTCACATGAATGTTACCCTTGCAAGTGCTTGCTAAGGTAAGAATATATTTAGACTTCTAGATGAAAAAGCTAACAATAAGTGCACAATTGTACGAGAATTCTCCCATCCTTCTGAAGATCAAGGGTCCTTGCCTGACAGAGCCTGACATTCTTTTTTCCATGCTCTGTTCATTTTTAACTGGATTAGTTTGAAAGTAATGAATATAGATGAGCTTCATGGTGAGCACTCCTAGTCCTCTGAACGCTCTTTGAAACGTAGCATATCTCACCATACACGCAGGCTAACTATCAACCATTGTTTCTAGCCGAACAGTTTTCATGGCGCAATATTAGTCCAATGAAGTGCCCACGAATCTCCCAGAGAAAATGGTCTACTATTCGGTCATGAACTCTTGAAACAGAGAAGCAGAATATATAAGAAGTCTCACCGATCGAGTGAATCATGAAAATCTAGCTTTTCCCAAGCATAAGAAGCTGTTTCACAGCAAGATGACTTGCCTTGAGAGCATAGTTCACATCAACCCGTTAACGCCGTTCATCCTCCAAGTAATATTATCATGTGTACTATGTACGTACGCTACTTAATACAGGCAAGCAATTGTCGGTAATATCAAGCCCTTCGATTGACCTTTCAAGAAATATACACACGGGACTTACTGCGAAAGCACTAGAAGATATGTGGAAAGGGCGCCTGATGAGGAAAATAATCCACCACGTTTTTCCGGCGAGTAAGATGACTGGAATTAGAGGTGAATTGCTCTCGCTTCCATTCTGAACGTCCCTGGATTAACCCGACCGCTCGAAAGCTTGATGGTCGTAAATGCAATGGAAAAACGTGATCTTAAGATGGAAATTAATGGCGCCAGAATTTCATATCTTTTCCTTAGTCTTCTCTAGTCTTTCCACACTTCTGCAATCGGTTTATAGAGGTATTCAAAAGAAAGTATACCTATACGTGCCCCGAGGCACTGAATTGAAATCGGCTTTCTTATATCATGCAGGATAGCGCCAACGGTGATTTTGGTCCACAAGCAAGAGTTAGTGGGACTACGCCGGGGCTAGAGACTAGAGCCCATACTTTTGCTCTTTCCAAAAATAAAAAACTTTCAACAAATTTCTGGAAGAACAAAACTACGGCTTGCACTGGAATTGATCCGACGTCTTGCCGTTGAGCCAGTATTACTACCGCTGCGCTTTCATGTTTCATAACTTCTTTCAGTAAAAGCGTTCCACATGAAAATTGTGAGTCCAGCGTGCAAGGTGCGTATAGTAGGCCCCACCACCATTTTCATTGTGGCACCTATCAATTATCCTTCCCAGACGAGAACGACTGTAAATTGCAGAACTTTCAGCCTCTAACTAACTTGTCTCCGAACTTTTGAAAGGTGAACAAACTAGAGGCGGAGAGACCAGAGTTTCAGCAGAAAAAACTGGATCGTTGGAAAATGTAATATTTAGATAAACGTCAGTCTAGGTTGGAAATCACCCTATTAAATACTTCAGCAATTTAATAGCTATACAAATTGACGCTGTAATATATTCAACATCCCAAGTATCCTGCTTCAATCGCTGATTAATCATAAGATCGTGGCGTTAAATGAGGAAAGAAAATAGCCAAGTGCCTAATGTCCACAACGTTCGCCATTTTCGATCTGGTGGTCGCTGATCCGTCGGCGGATTGATGGATCCCAAGCATTGACGAATAATAAATAAACGCATATAATCCATGGAGAACCTCGTCTACGATGACTTTAATTGCTAAAGATAACTTAGATGATACTAAGAGTTAGCTCTGGAATAGCACGAGCTACAGACAAAGAAACTCTGAACTTTATTAATTTCTTTGTCTGATTTTCATATTTTGCTTGCCACGGAACTACCAAGCCAAGCTAATTTACATGAAACGTTCGTAGCGTGAGCATCGAGGTGGATGGACAACCGCTTTCCCACCATCTGCCGTGTCCGACATGAAGCGATTTGTCAATCGAACAGATCTATCACTGAAACGATTCCATTCCTGGGAGCAGACAATTGAAACTGGCAGAAGTGTTCTTGAAGATGCTAAAATTCTCTTATTGCCGGAGTTCTTCACTTGTTAATCCACACCAGAAGATGAAGAACAATGGAGTGAATGTTTGAGAAGTACGGGCTTCTTTTTATGCGTGGAATATCATTGAGTAGACGTTCGGCTTGTGTATGATGAATGGGAGCTCATAGTCATGTTTTTTCCATCGCAGTCCTGCGTCTCTATGGTGCTTATTCTCTATGAATCCATCAGGTCGAGTTCATAGATTTCCTCGCCACGTTTTGCTTTTTCGCCTTTCCTGAACCACTCTCGCCTTTCGCTCTTCCCGACGGCCACTCCAAACCATTGCTCACAATCTCACGCTTAAATGCTAGTGAGCATAGGCCGAGCAATTCCAATAGAATCATGTTTCGTGAATAGGAAGAGATGTCTGAAGGTTGGAGGTCATCCCTGTGTGAAGTCTTCGGCTCCGATGCTATGGCCATAATCGTCTAGACGAGCCGCGAGCCCCGCCCATTGCCATTTTATAAGCTGTCCAGTAGGCAACCAGGCGCCACGCCTCCCGACTTACTTCTTCTTCTGCGCGGATCCGTCGCCGATGAATTCCGAACGTCACACTTCTCTTCAGTTGCAATTCCTGCTATGATACTCATTTTTATTCTACGATGACCCTATTACAAATATTGCTGGCCGTACTGATACCATCTTTATACCTTACTCATGAGACGTCAACGCAGCATCCGCTGGTCACTCCGCACAATTCCTCTGAAATTGTGCTCAGCTGTGGCCCGGCTGAGAACTTTATTCAGACCCACATGGCCCCGGATTTTGAATCACCACAATTGGTGCGACGTCTCGACTGGTTTCACGACGACGCGCTCGTCGCCAGTTATCAGCAGGTCAGCGGCACGCTTTTGTGTTCTATCTGTGATACTTTTATTACTTTTTCTGTTATTGAGTGGCCGACATCTTGTGCCAATCTTATGTACCTCTTCTCCATTTATGCGCTATATTGTTAACCCTGAATTACCATAAGCCGGCTTGTGCTGACGTTCGTTGAATGGAACAAGAATTGAAAGGTTGGGGTGAAAACAGAGGATGAATGGCATTTGAAGCAAGTGCAAGATGGACCGAGAGCTATGCATATAACTGTGCTTAAGGCAGAGCTTGTACTTTCCGACACAGCGAACGCAGCAGCGGCGACGAACAATCGAATAGAAGAATAGCATTCGAAGGAGAACGACTGAGAATCTAATTACTAATCCGTTCGCAATAATATGGTGTTAGTGGTGGCGGCTGAGACGGACAGCCACAGCGGAAGCAAACAGCATTCGCTCTTCTTTGTGCTTCTGCTGCTTTTTCAAAATGATCGCCATCCGCTCTGTTACGATGAATTGCCACCCACCAGTGCAGCACAGGCTGGGGTTTAGTTGGCGTTTTTGCCTCTTCCATAACATCCGAACAGGGTCAACCCTACGTTGCTACAAGTAGCAACGGGGGGGGGTCGTAGTTTTGTTGAGTTTGTGGTGGGGGGGGTCGTACTTGTTTCGGTAGCGCGAAATTACATGTGATGAGGTGAGAGCGCGCGGGAGAAAATTTGCCGTTTCAACTCACTGATGAGCTCCGGGGATTGACGAAATAATAAGGTTCGTCTGAGGAAGGAGCGAAACGAACCGTATCTATTATTTTGTTTATAATGGTTTTTCTTTCTTAATTGGCATGCTTATATACCCCCCCCCCCTAGAGCGGAGTGGTGGAGATATAGGTGAGAACGAGGGGAGATGAGGGAAATGGAGGGAAATTTTACGGTTTCATGGTAGTTGCCCACCCGCTCGACGGTGTTTTTTGAGGGAAAAGTGGCTGTGAAGAGGGGGTCGTATGAAACTTCTCGTGAAGGAGGGGGGTCGTAAAAATTCGATTGGACCGACCATGCATCCGAAACATCGACAACGGCTTGGCGACAATAAGTAGCGCTTCCTATGCATACTTTATTCCAATCCAGCCACGGCTTTGATCTCAGGCTCTTTCACTAACAGTTTATTGCCCATCACAGCATCGTTAATCACACTCGTCAATGAATTTATGACAGTCGAAGTCCAAAACAATGGCGTTTCCTGTTTTTCATTTGCAGCTCTTTTTCATTTTCTCTTTATCGATTTGACGTGGTTACGTGAATTTGTTAGTGTACCCGGAAAACCGAGGAATCTAGGGCGTGTTTATTTGCTTACTCATCGCCAGGTTAATCACATGCGTAGACAAACGAATACATACGATGAACTCCACATGATGAGCCACAGATTGGCGCTTCAATCGAGGGCCAGAAAAAACCGATTTCTGGAGATTCCGAAGCCAAAGTCCTTTTCTTCTAGCACTTGTGGTACTGTCTTCCGAAAACGCAAGAAATGGCAGAAATGGCTGAGTTCTTTCGATGCTTTTCAACTTTCCTTTGGATCCCAAATTCCCAGAATTGCCTGCGCTAGTGATCAGTTAATGAATCCATATAGTGTCAATTGTTAGCCGTAGAGGCAGGCGGGCTGTGAGTGCGCTCTCGAGTGTTACTGCATTAGTGAGTCGCATTAAATGTGGCTCTAATGGATGGCGTAAGCAAGCACCTCGTACACCGTTGGACACCTCCCACGAAAGTACCCGAAGGGATGTGGTACTGGCTGGTCAATGAACGGCTCATCGAAGCGATAAATGCTGTCATAGCAGTTTTTATGTGCAGAACGCATGCGCCAACTCGAGATGTTTCAATGATCAATTAGACGCGAACCATATGGCTAATTGCCAAGGTTGACTGGCGCGAAGAGGTCAGAAGATGGATTACCCGTTAGGAGTGTATTCCAATGAACTGTAATGGATTGCATTTGTCTTGTTGTAGGGGAAATCTGAAATGTGTTTTCTTGTGGGTGTCCAAAGCAAAGTCGCCGTCGTTGTGTAAGTCTGGGAGGCTGTGGTATTCTTAAGAAGACCAGTTAATTTTGACTCGTTTTTGTTTGTTAACTGCTTTTTTTGGTCGCATTTTGCCTTGCGAAGGTTTCACGGAGTTTTACAGAAAAGCTGAGTTAATTTGAAACGGTGCCCCGGTAGCGCAACTTGTAGCGCACTTCCTGGATAAGCGAGAAATGCTGGTTCGAGTCTTACCTGGGGAGGAAGTTTTGCATGTAATCCCAGCATTTTGTGAAAGGAGAGCAAGGTTTCCCAACAATTTGTGACGCTGTTAGCTTCTAGCGCGTCTCGAGGCCTCAGTGAAGAAGTGCCATTCTTTCGAACTATTGATCGCATAGAAATCGGTAAACTGCAACTTTTGAGCCTTTCCCGTGGAAATCTCTAGCTAACCGTAAGTATGTAGGTACTCAGATCTTTGTGACCGGATAATTATTGCTATCCTTGTTCTCAGAATGATACAACTGCCAGCCATTTTACGCTTGAAGCGTAGACTTCGAACAGTCCCTCTATCCTGTCGGCAGCTGCAATCTACTTGCTAGTATTGCAAAACAAGACATACTTCACCCAAACAGAGCTGGCGCAGCAGTAAGAGCCAACGCTTCCGAGGATTAGCCCCGTGCTCCGCCACCCAAACTTCTGACCCCTCCTCAGTAATGTCCCAGTACGGAAGGACGAAAGTGAGCAGCGGCACATTCCCTGCAAGAGATGAAGTTTTTGTACTTCCGAATAGCTGCTCCAATGCAGCGCACATTCCAGGAGAACCCTGAAGCATGCTTTGTCTGGACAATTGCTTTGTCCTAAGGGATCATGGCGATAACGTATGCAACCATTACGCTTGTTGTGATCTTCGACAATTCCACGGCCTACATTTCGGAATGTTTCTCTACCGAGTGTTCATTGAGCCATGTTACCCCTTTAGCGATTTCTTTCGTAGTCGCTCTGAAATTACGGAGGCGCTGCAGAGTGAGTAATGACATGTCTGCTCTAGATTTCTTTCTGAACCAGAAACAGCTCCCATCTCAAATTGCCAGGGTTTCCTCTTATATCTGCAGGAAAACTAGTTCAGGCAAAGCTTTTTACACTGCAGCTCGTATTAGATGTGCACTGAGGACAGCATCAGATGAGCGCTTTGTAGAGCTTGGAATGTGGCGGAAATAGTATTTCTTCGGACTAACAATACCTCCTAGGAAGAAGAGCAGTCAACATGTTGTTCCTCTCTGCTAGGATGAGGCCTGTGCAACTCGCGGGAATCTGTAACGGACACTACACCCATTTGTAGGCTCCTCCAGCCCAAAGTATTCCGTTCCATCCCAATCTCGGCAGCATATATTATTTAGTTACTGGAAAGCGTTCCTGAGTCATGCTCAACAGATCACAACAAATGTGAACGAGTATATTCTCGGCTTTCACCATATCATCGCAAGCAAGAATGTTGTGCTCGTCATCACAGCTCTGTCTCAAAAATGTGCCGTCAAAGAAAGTCGGGGACTTGTGAAGATGCATCTACCCTTTTTGAGCACGTATTCCTTCATTGTCAAAGACGCAGCATGGAAGCCGTCAACGTCTCAGACGATCGCAGCTGAAATGCCGCCTGACCATGCCAAACAGGCCCGGGCTGCACTTAGATGGCCAAAAACTTTGTGCATTGGAAATTGGCTAATTTCGAGCACAGGAACGCTAGAAACCCAAGTGTTTCTTGTTGAGGCTATTCCACGAATCGATAAGAAGGTTTTAAAGAGGTGAAAAAGTCCACGAAAACGAAGTGCTCGCTGTCAAATCCGAATTTGCATGTTTTTCCCTGCAACATCAACTTGCAGACTTTGACTGCATTTTTCTTTCTCTTAAGGGCTATAGGATTTCATCGTCCTAAAAAAGCACAACTCTCAATCCTTTCCCGTAGCACGAACCCCTGCCCAAATTTGTACAACGAGCAAACACTAATTGGCACTCGAAAACATCTGTCCGGATGCAATGCGAAACGCTACGGAAGCGCGGTGTTGCGAGATGAAAGAGCACGTCGACCCGGCGAAACAAACGAGACGGCCACCCTCCAGGAGGCTGCCCTTCGGGCCATGAGGAATGGCAGTATCTAACCGTGAAGCGATACCACACAACACGATGGATAACATTGTTGGAAGGCATTTTCAGGCGTCATTAAGCCGTAAACAGTCATTCATCGCGTCCGTGCACGGCAGTGAATTATTGCCGGTACGAATAGCGGGGGGTTGCAGTGGCGAGAGGGTAGCTTCCTCTATGAAAGTGGGCTCAGATGGTGACTGACTTCGTGGTGAATTGGCTCATATGAGCATTAAACTTAGAGAATGGAAGTGAAATTGAGCGTGCCATCTGCATACCCGACGCAGAGCTTACACCGCATCAGTTGAATGTAAGCCTCGCTTGACAATTACCCTTCTCCGAAGTCGCATGGCAACACAAAAGGGCAAGCAAATACGATGCAGTTTGCGCATCAATGGTCGCTCAACACACCTCAACGGACGCGCACACGAAAATAAAGCTTCGGGACGAAGATGCACTCATCCGGAAAAATAACGTTGTGATTTTTGGCCGCGCAATAGTGAGAGCATTGTTGCCAAATAGGCTTGCAGTTAAGAGAAGTAATTGCATCGTCAAAACGCTCAGGGTTTACTGATTCTGACGTGCCGAGGCATCGAGAGACTGGGCAAGAGGGGAAAGGCTAGACGATGGAGAGAGCGCAGGCATTAACATGCCGTGGAAAGGAAAATGAAGCGGTCGAAGCATTCTTTGCAAAGCCCTAGCCTAGCGGCCTTGTTGCGCACTTTTAGAGCTGGGAGAATGAGAATTCGCGAGCTTTGGTCAACAGCTCTACTACTAAGAGGATCCATCCAAATCTGCTTCCATCCCGGGTTGTGCCTTCAAGAGCAGTGGCGTTTACATGCCTGCACTGGCAGGATGGATTCTTGGCTTTCGCAGTCCCCCCTCTCCATCCCCCTGCCGTCACATGCCCCGTTATTCTGTGGCCTTCTTTTGAAACTGTTGAGATACACAAAATCTAAGGCCAACCTTCATTAATCATAATGCATTTACGACCAATAAGTGCATAGGCTTCTCAATGATTGGGTGAAAACTGGAGCATGGCTCACTCCAAGTATCTCACAGAATACCCAGATCGCACTATTTTAGTGTTCATTGTTTTCGAAGGATCAAAAAGTTAGCAAACGTTCAGAATAAGTCTTACACTAACGCGGGAAATTGAAATATTTGAACCTTTATACGATCAAACCATAACACCGAGAGCAATCCTTTTTTGCCTGTGAAGCATTTCAATTTTATCATTTGCCAAATAGGTTTTTGTTTTCATTATTTCATGAATATGAAGATGTTCTGCGAAAGTTCCCGAGCATTATATCGAATCCATTGAAATTCATTGAGTCAACTTTCCAACGCGAGAAAAATCCCAGAGCCAAGCCAAGCCCGATTGCGCGATGTATCCAATAATTTCCGGAAATACCTTCCTACTGCAACGCGTGTATCGAGCGTGAGCACCGACTCATGGAAAGTGCACTAATCGTGCATTTCGCGATGTAATCACTGGCAAACAAATGAAAGCCGTGGAAGGCGAAAGGCGGCAAGTGGCTGCGCTGTTGCAGTGAATTTCGCCTAAATGTGGCCATCTCTGAAGAAGTGTCGAACCCACCTACCCAGTCTACGGCCAAAATAAGGGCAGACGCACTTGTAAAGAAGCAGGCCATCCGATTTTTCACAGGCTCCCTAAATTTGCAATGCATTGCATTTGATTTTGCTTCAGTGGATGTTCCTTCGGGGTAAGAGGGAGAGCGAAGGGAGGATTACAATACAAGGTAACAATAGGTGCAGATCCAATCCACTACTTTCTCGCAGCTCATGCGTGGACCAACTGTTGCAAAGTTCTACAAGCCGAGTTTGCCGAGTTGTTTGGACGAGCAAATCAAGCATGTATCACTTAGAGATTCGTAGGTTGCAAGATTGGCGTGATTCCTTCTGGCTGAGCTACCATCTGCAGTCGACTGAGGAACATGTGATTAGGGAGCGCATTGCGAAGGTGCTTCACTCCTCCGCGCTTATCACCACAAATCGACGAAAACTTTCCCGCTACTCGACTGAAGTCCTGCAGGCTAAAGGCCGACATCGACTACTGGGTTTAGTCGAAATCGGAACCAGCGTTATCGCAGACCTTACCGACCTCATTAATCACATTCCTTGATTTGAGAGTTTGCAGCAGCCCAGAGAGATGGCCCACATTTTCAAACGATAAACCATGATGTTCAGAAAATTGAAGAAACCCTAACACTTTCAGCCCTGAATCATTTTCAGTGAAGAAAAATATGTTCTACTCTCTTATTCATTCTTACACGAATGAGGCGCGTGCAAAGCAAAACTCGAATGGGAAGGGTTATCTCACGCGCCCGCTAGCATTGAATGGTAAAAATATAGTATGTTGTCACGCGGGAATGCTGACCTCTGGATTTTCTTTGTGACAGGTGCCAGCGCTAGCTCCGAAGGGGTTAAATAGAGCAGTGCGGAAGATAGAAAGGAGCACTAATGGCTAAAAATAAGTCACGTTTGCGAACGCCCCCCCCCCCTTATGAAAACAACTCATCACTATTTGTAGGGAAACGTAATGTTATGTAAACGTAATATGTAATGGGAAACCCAGCTCTGTTTTCTCAACTTTCAAGCTCTACATAACTTTTTTGCCAGCGGGCTTTCCCTATTGGCTTCACCCCGATTCTCAAGTATAGCTTAAGCTACTAATTAGCTCAGCCGAAATAAGAATCAGGACCTCCTGCCTCCGCCATTAAGTACTACAGCAAGTCTGACGTGAATTCATTATCCTTTCGCATTACATCTCGTTAAGGATGGACTCATCCGTGAATAAAACACTTTTCTAGACGTGCACTATTGAGTGATGACGTGGGAACAGCTAGATGTCAGCCAGCCATTAGGACCACGGCAAAGCTGTGCCTTCCTCAACTTATTCTAATGGTTACCCTTTCAAGCTTGCAGCGCTCATGTGATGCATCGCCTTCCAGCTGCGCCTTTCACTTACTTGTTTTGGTAACCATAATTCTGAAAAGCCCAACTGCTTCATTCGCGCTGTTGAACAGAATCAAGGAGAGTATAGAAAGATTAGTAGTGGCTTTTCTAAGTCAAAAATGGAACTGCAAATAATTCGCAGGAACTGTTCGCAATTCAGAGTGACACGTGATTGCCAGGCGATTTCTGCTCGACGCACTGCTGAAAGAACTCGTGAATTCACTAAGTGCATATGCATAATTTCGAGTCGCAATTGAAATGACTTCATCGGGAGGTTCGTAGATCACATTTTCCCACGAAATCCAAGTCTATTTTTGTGCCCGTCTTCTGAGGCTTTTGAGGCTTACTCCACAGAGTTCATGTGAAAATGCAAGAAGTAAGCAAATTGAGCGGGAGAGTAAAACCAAGCGGTTCTATGCCTATTTCTTTCAAAATTGCTCCCGAACGTTTTTGAAGGTGCTGTTACTCAGTGGCTGCAAAATGCACTTAATGGGATATGTCCCTAGGGAGCTCAGGGTGGGAAATCTCGTTTTGCCATAACTCATCAATCTTACGATAACATTTACTGAATGGCTTCAGAGCTGCAGCTTCACATGTATTGTGCTCTGGAGATTCGCACAAGCCAACACAGCTATGTAGACAAGAGCTCCAATGCTTCTCTAGGCTTTAACTCTTGGACGCGCCGAAAACGGTTCGTGTTTCTTTTTTTGCAGAAAAATCAGTGATACCTTCCTAATTCCGTTTTTTGGACGTTTAATTCCATTAAGATGGATATAAAGTGGCTTAATCATATCAATTGTGGAGGACGTTGTTGTAACGAAAAAAAACACTAGGAAATCGTTGTGAGCGGAACCCTTTTTGAACGCTGGTTTTATAGTGTCACCAAACGTACAAAGGGTACCCACACTTCCAAAAAGTCCTGGGGGTCGGGGACGCGCCTTGGAAGCCGGAGTCGGAGTAATTAAAGGAAAAAGGATAAAGCATTTGCCGTTGATCAATCCCTTTTTGGGATGCGGCACGCATTCTACTTCCATTTGTACATTCGCAGTGGCATTTGAATGCGATGTGGCCTATACAATGACTTGCGGGGGCCAGCCGATGTTCAAGTCAGTGTTTTTTATCCTCCCAGACAAGTCTGGTACCAATTAACCGACCCCGGAGGGATGGAAGGCTTGGTTGGCCCGGGCGACTCACGACCCAGGATTTGATCCCCGGACCGCTCGCGTGGTAAGCGCGCCACTTGTCACTACACCACTTCCGCCCACCGTCGTGTACATATAATCTAATTTCAACTCTGAAGCGAGTTGAAGGAAATCACTTTGGAAAGGTTATCAAAGCAAGTCCTAGAGCAGGTTACCGGTCAGTGTGTGTGTGGTTCCCAACAAAGGCAATGTCAAATATTCTCGATAGTTGGGTTTGTAATATTGTGAAATGTGAATCTGTGAATGATAACCAACTTATAATAGACTTTTTCAAAATTTTCAACTCGGTCTAAGATGCTTTGATGACAGAGGGGCCGCTACCATGCGCATGGTCCGCGAATCAAATGCCAGGCCAAATCTTGCGCATCCCTCGTGTTAATCGTCAGTTTGAATGGTCCGCTGCCAGAAGTGGTAGCCACGCGAACGCAGATTAACTCGATGAGTATTGCCCACTCCAAAAAGTCTTTTTGAACGATTAAAATGTAAATTGAAGGCCAGTGGGGTAGCGTCTTGTCTGGCTATTGCCCACACAAAAAAGTCTTTTCGAACCATTCAAGTTGATGCAGTTCTGGCCAACAAAGGCCACTGGGGTAGCGTCTTGCATTGACCAACCTTGACTTCGATCTTTTCCCGCAAAATCTGATACCGTAACCTCTAAAAGTCTACTAATTTCTACAATTAATTAATCTCCCAGAAAATGCTTGCAATATAAAATTGACAATTTTTGCCATTCACTTTATCGATAATCGAGTTTTTGTTAACAATTATTCCAAAGTTCTTTTTTAAATTCTCTAAATTCATTAAAAATGATTTATGTGAAAACGCCACAATCGTCT